AGTCTTGTACTGCAACAATGAAGAGGAATTTGCTTACCATCTATCTAGTAATACTACTACTGCTACTGCTAGTACTACTACCTATTAGTAGCTACTACTACTTCTACTACTAGTACTAGTACTCACGAGCACAGTACAAGTACGTCTGTCCGTCGCTTAGAGTACCGCAAGTACGAAGTACTTCTTCGAAGTACGGTACATGGTACTTTTTACTATACTTAATATTTATCTCTACTCCCATGCTCCGCGCTAGTCTCTCCTGATGATTTTTTTGAGAATGATGGGGGATTGTCTCTCTTTGCATGATATTAGAACAAACAAAAACATCAGGTGTCAATCATGGGGAAAACTGGTGCCATCATTCGTAGGGCAACATTGTCTTCGGTGAGCGTTAGATGTCCATYGGCGCCGCCAAAGCTATCGCCCCTGGTTCGCTCTTTCTCTTCCAACACCAACACTCGACAATGGCCGTTTCGGATTGATGGACCTTGCGGGTCTCGTAGCTCTGGTAGTTTTCATAAATGCGTCACGTCGAGCCAGCCACTGCGACATCAAAAAATAAACTCTCGTGTATCAGTCGCATCRTTTTCGTCAACTACCGATGACAAGAAAGAGGGTGTCATCAGAGGATGGATGAACGACCGTACGGCTCGGCAAGAAAAGGAAAAATACATGGAACAGATGACGAGATTGTCGACCATGGATGTATTCACTATGGAAAAGTACCGCGATGAACTTCAGATGGGTGTAGATGGTGGAGGCATGCTAACWAAAGTTTCCTTCATGCAAACGAAGGAAATCAAGCAGGCAAAGGAGGTCGTTGAAGTTGTGGAAAAAATCATCGAAGTCGTTGGCCCGGATGCTACGGCCGAAGACTTGATAAAGATGGATCGGCTACAGCGACTTCGTGTAGCAACAKCCGCTAACAGAACACTAGAGGAAATATCCATCATGGTCAGTCAAATCACGAACATGGACGTCATGCAAAAGACGCTCCGTAAGAGATATCTGGAAGGAAAGCCGATTCCCCCCGACAAAGAGACCATGCAGTCTGTAATCCAAAAGGACGCTTTGGCAGTCCTTTCAAAGTCGCAGAAGGAAATGATGAGAAGTCGTCAAGAGAGCAACGCACGACGAATGGCCCGCAAAAGAAGGCGATAATGATGCGTCGCATATAGTGGTAATTTTTCTTGATTCTAATACAATAGTTAAAGCAATATATTTGCTCTGTTTGATGTGAAAATGGACTTCCACCCACGGAACATATTCATTGCACTATGACAGTATTATAACTCCGAAACGAAATCATGGATAATAAGATGTTGCAAGCTAGAAAATGATGTGACAAACTGCGATAAGAATTCKTAAGTACGAAGTATTCAATTTCAAATCCGAAAACGTCTCATTACTTGTCCGAACTGGTGGGYAGAGAAAACTTTCCACCCTTTCGCTTGCTGTAAAGTTTGACAAAAYAAAAGAGAATGTGTAAGAGAAGACATGATGTCGAACGGACCTCGAAATGACAGAGTATAGAACCCAGGAAAGCATCACGAGGAGAAAACTTAGGCTCACGTACCTCTTTAAGTAGTAGTAGAAGAAATCAGCATAAAGCAACGTCTGGATAACCCCGCAGATGTATACAACCCAGTGATGCCTGTAATTCTTTTCGTTCTTGGCTCGGTAAATCCAATTSAGAATGTACAACGCTCGGTAAGCACCCATGAAAAAGACATAGTTTCCAGTCAAGTTTTCAACTTCGCGGTAACGTTGCAAGACGACCAACTGAGGCATAATGGTGATGCATTCGAGGTAGATAGAAAAGGTCCAAAGYAGTTCCATCACGTTGAAATCAGAGATGCCCGATCCGATCAGGTGAGTTAAGAACGCCAACACGGCACACGGAATCACCGCAAATTGCCAATGTAAAAAGGAATCTTGACCCTTTTCGTATGTGCTCTTAATCGGTTCCTGATATTTGATGGTGTAGATGATCGCAGATGTTGCGGCGATATAGACAACTTTCATAATGGAGTTGTAGGCAGAATAGAAGGTCGTGAAGAGATCCAAATACCGAGTCACAAAAACGAGTAAATAGAGTTCGTGCGTTTTCACGGATATACCTGTCGTGTCAATTAAACCAAAAAGGATACGGAAAGTACCTCAAGAAGTTAGCTTYCTTCRAGGCGATACAATGGTCTTTGCAGTGACCTTGCAGACGTTCATACGTACCCTGCGCATTTTTAGCAACTCGTAGTCGCAGCAGCAATACGATGATGCTGAACAAATGCGACATGTCGCCGCAGAACCGAAAGATATTCATATTGCCTTTACGTTCTGATCACTATCGCAGTGTCTMACAAGACAAAGAAGAGGTGAATGGTGGAATTGCAATGGTTAGCAAATAAGTCCRCAGATAGAGTGGTCTTTCCTCCGCAATGTATCCGTCAGAGCTGCTAAAGCTTCCCGAATAGCTATGACTGAGATGGTGCTAATTACACTCACACAAAGGGGGGAGAACCACCTATGACCAAATTTTGTATTTTACTGTATCGGTCGTGTAATAGTACGAGGGCAACTGCTGTAGTACGAAGACTGAAATTAGAGCAAGGGTGCTCGTATCGTAATTAAACGAGCTGATTCGCAGTGTACTTTTACTAGGAGTAAAGCCTCCAACGGCTATTGGTATCGTAACTGGTACGTAGCGTACCTGTGGTGCACCGTATGAAACCTACCAAGCTCGGAGTTGAATTTTTTGTGTTTTTCACATTTCGAACATGAGAGCTTACTGTGTAGGGGTACATACGTATCATATGATAGATATGATGCATACAGGCGTATGGGTTTGTGGGTGACTCCCATCAAAATCTCAAAACCAACTGAAAACTGACAACAGTGGGAAAAGTTACTCGTACCCTTCTACTGTACAAGTACTCCTACGTTACTTCTACACCTTTAATGGTAGCACAWYGTTTTGCTCGGATCTTGTCAAGTCGTATTATTACGSCAGAAGATGCCTGACTCGACTACGTTGATGTTCATGCCGAAACATGTGCAATCCGTATTCTCACGAAACAATCATTTCTTCTGCTATTTGATTCAATTTGTTTCAAATTCGAGCACTATTCACCAAASCCACTCAATAGTATGGGCRGCTGGCGMAAAAAGAAYGGGAGAAGTAGAGGTAGGACGAAAAGGGGAGGAACGCCTATCGAACACAGGTTGTTGTTGAAATACCTTCAAGAGTACCAGGAACGAACACTCTCTTTTTACCAATCGTTATCAMCTACGAAACAGCTATCATCAAAGAAAAATAATTTTGACGAAAATCAAACTTACACTAAGCCGGTTGAAATAGATGGAGTTGAGCTTCCGGTACTCCAAAAYARCGAGATAATAGAAAAACCGTTCTTGGCGTTACCAAAAGAGCTCACGGGATACCATCGTTCAATAGTCCATAATTTATGCACGGATACCCTAAATTTGTTTCATTGTGGCGTCGATGGRGAAAATGAGGGAGATCGATTCGTTGCTATTTCTRTCTACAGTGATGGGCTCAATTTTGTCCCAGGAATAGAGATCCCGAACTGCGTTGCACCTCTCGCTCTACAGCTAGGAAAATATAAACCATGGATCATGAAAAAGAATGTAGATTCTAGGGTGGAAACTGAAGACCGCAAGAAAATGATCTGGGAAATGATTGACCAACCWGGTCGATGCCTGAGGGATTCCCAAGACACGATTGATACAATAGCAATGAAGGGRAAAAATCTCAGCAACATCGTACCCCCAGGAATAGGGGATACCGCGTGTTTGATTGTGGATTCCGCAGGGCTGWTGCAMCAATGTATCAAAGAGCTTGAAGACAGCAAACCCACCGAAATCGCTTTTGATATTGAATGCTATAACAAAGGAAAAGAACAACAAATCACCTGCTTGATTCAGCTAGCTACGAAYGATGGCAGAGAATATGTCATTGACGTTCTGGGTGGTAAGAATGGCGAGGTCTGGGATGGAGTACATGGTCTTGCCAAGACCTTTGCAGACAGGGGCATTGTCAAGATCGGACACGGTATTCGAGGATTAGATGTACAAAGCCTACAACGAGATTTTGGYATTTTTGTCGTGAATGCATTTGACACGTACGAGGCAGCAAACGTTCTACAGTTAAAAGACAAGGGTCTCGCAAAAGTTTGCGCGCATTACGGGTTGCAAAACTCAGAGGTATACAACGATCTGAAAGGGAAATACCAAGCAACAGATTGGTCGCAACGCCCGCTTACAGAAGACATGATACTATACGGCAGGTATGATGTCCATTACCTCATTGAACTGCGGAGATTGATGTTAAGAGACTTGATCGGCAATGCCGAAACAAAAGACGAACYATTGAGGGCACAGGACCTTCGAATGAGCATGAAACTCATGCAAGTCGTTTCGAAGAGCCAAGACAATTGTCTCAAGTTATGGAATACGAAGCCAGAGCCTCACCTAGCAAACAAACAGTTTCAGTCTCTTGCAAAAGAGCGGGAAAAAATAGGTTACGGTTTGACCAAATCTCAGTTAAGTCTTTACGCGAGATTAGCTTCTTGGCGGGAAACTATCGCGAAGGAAGAAGAGGCATTGCCTGGGATAATCTGYGGGTTAGACTACTTTGCCAGGGTTGCCGTCCATCGTCCGATGACAGAAGATGGGTTGCGACAAATTCGTTTCGACATTCCACATTTTTTGTTGAAAAATCATAAAAAAGAAATGGTAGTGATGCTTGGATGGGTCAAAGAGTCTCTAGAAGAAGAYGGTATAMCCGCAAAGGAATATCCAACATACGAAGAAGTTTTTCAGCTGCTTTCTAACAACAAAAGAATGAAAATCTCGCCAGCTAAGGAAGGCAGCGCTAATGCGGACATGAATAAAAGCAGGATAATCGCAAGTCCTGTATTTTGGGCCGTAACTTGTGCAACAATATCTGCAGTTATCTGTAGTCTCATTACCGATAGAAAAAGGAAGGGGTCCAAAATGTGATGGGATTTTAATCTTCTCAATGCTTTGCCTAAGCCTTTTACCTCAACATGATTCATGGCATGCTAGATTTTGACAGATGAAAAGGGATCGTAGCAGCCAAGAATTCATTTTCAGCCCATAAAATCAAGAGGTTGATTGAATTTTGCATGATGAATACTCAACGGCAGTTTTGATCGATTAGTTTGCAACTTCGGGTGTTTTTCCTCTCGTTCTGTTTTCTCCTTAATGTTTGTTAAGAAGGACTGGTTATGAATCATCCTATATTGATTGATGTTCCATGAGTGAACTCTGGACGGAAAATCTTYYAATCGTGTTGTGCTAGAACTTGTTTTCTGTCCACATCACAACSGTACGGTACATTATCGCATCTGTTTCCCCCTTTCATATTGCAACAAGTGACCGCGTTCCCAACTTGCAGATTTCGGCCAGTTGTAGGTCTGGCTATCATACCATATCTTCTTCGTGCAAAAATTGGACAGGAAGGTAATAAGTGAAAAATCCGACCTGGTCGGGTTTCAACAGTATGTGCAAGACCAGCATCTCATTCGAGACCAARCCAAGCAAGCAGGAGGTCACGGGCAAATGCCACTGTTGCTGCTGCGCGCTCTGTTGCTGCCATTGAAGACAGGTTGATAGCTTTTGGGCATCGACCTTGACCGTACAAGAGGCGCTGGCATCGGGCACATTCGTTGGGGCGTTGTTGTCGTCCTGCTCGTCCTCTGGCCATCGCGGAACCAAGTCGTTGTAATAGCAAGCCATGGATGCCCCCTCGTGGTGTAGTCGAATCGTCAGGTCCCCCTTCATGTTACCCTCCAAAAAYACTGYAGATTTTGACACAACAAAGTACGATAGGAACAAAACGAACGCAATTGGAAAACGAACGACACCACCACAAACAACAAAAACTTTGTATGAGCATCCCAAAAAACACAAGTGCACGGATGTTTCCCATCCACTCGATCGGTTGTGCACCAAGGGAGATAATTAAACGCGTACCGCGTCACACTGTATCTTTTGTCAGAGAAAAGCAAGCAAACCAAACAAGAACGTACCGTATTGTCCCATTGCCTTCAGACGGTCAAGGAGTGGCCGTATCGGACGGTCCGCCGGCAGTTCCAGCTGGACCTGCGGCATGTTGATCTGTGGCGGCAGGTGATTTTGCATTTCCGCCCTCCGCAAAATCGTCACGGGTATGGCCTGGTGGATTTCCACGTCGTGGTTGGCGGAGTCGCTCTGCGCGTGTTTCCCCTCCAGGCACAAACAGGGCATTCGGTTCCGTTTCGCTAGCTTCAGAACCACGACCTCGTTCTGGTGGATCGAGTGGAGGAGGGTGTTTCGTTCGCTGTTGTTGCCATTCTGTTTCTGCTTGTTTGCTCCTCCGCCACCACCCCCAACCACCGACTGCAGGGCCAGCTTGAAGGAAACGAGATCGACCTGACAGACAATCACGTTGTCGGCGGCCGATTCGATGCGGTGGTCGACAAACAAATCCCTCTGTGAGAGTTCGACGAAGCAGGTGATTCCCGATTCGGAGTTTCGAAACGAAATGCGAACGTATTCCTCGTCCAGATACAGGACAGCGTAMTGGCGGTGTGCGTCCTGGAGCTTGGAAATGGGAGCGATGATGGCGTGCAACAGCGACAACTGATCGTTCATCAATTTCGCCTTGAACCTCATTGTGCAAGTTCGAGAGCGTTGTTTGTGTTTTTGTTCTTGTTCTTGTGGCACGATTTAGCAAATACGGCTTGGAACACGCCAATTAGAAGTCAATATTCTATTTCGATTAGATGGTTAAMGATGGCTTGGGCATCTCCTTCCTCGGCTTTCGGTATGAGGTACCGGTACTTCTTGAACGGTACCGGTAGGAAAGGTTTCGAATGGACTGTCAGTTCTCACACAAAAAATGCCGCCAAATTTAAGAGTGAGTCACGGCTATTTTATTCACGAACCGACGTGATTCAATCGTGCCATACAGTAGAGTTCCGTACTGWGCGATACGTACCGTAGGCGGTAGAGAAAAGTAATGTACTTCATACGACCCCTGCTTCATACAACATCACCATTATTACCAACTTGAGTCTCGGTCCCCGAGATGCAAGTGATGGTACCGTACGGTAGCAATGTACGGTACAGTGTAGTTCCCCCTAGAAAACGAATACGAATACGAACCGCAAGAAAACAAACCCATCAAACACATCCACCCGTCTTTCGCAGTTGCCTGCTTTCTACGATGAAGCAGAGAAAGAACATGGCATTTCTACGAGGATTGATCGTGATCATCATTGGCCTATTCAGTTTTTCTGCCGTTTACGGAACCGAGGACCCGCACAGTGGCGAGACGGTAAGAGTACCCGTGATCGATTTAGCTCCGTGGTTTGATGGGTCTTTGAAACAAAAGAACCAGCAGCAGGAACCTCGAAGRACAGAAAGCACAGGACTCGATGTATATGGCCTAACCGAGGAGCAACGCAACATTGTGCACCAGATTCGTCGAGCCTGCCACGAGGTAGGGTTCTTTCAAATCGTTGGCGGCCTCGGTGGGAGAAAAAAGAGAGCCGGCGACGATGCCATGATCGAACGGACCTGGAAGGCCTCGAGGGAATTCTTCGAGCTGTCCGTCGAAGAAAAACTCTTGCACGGAACGACCGACAACACAAAGTATCCCTACGGTTACGAGCGTTCCGAAACACTCGTCAAGGGAAAATCGATAGACGGCGAGGACGAAGACTTRCCCGGGGAGAAGGCATCATCATCCGTGGCGGCTGCSGATCTGAAGGAAACCTTTGCGGTTGGACCGCCAACCGGAAACGGTTCCGGAATGCCTCCCCGCCAGTGGATAGACTCAGAAAATATATCTTCAGACTTTCAAATCTCGCTAGAGGCATACTACAAACGGATGGAAGAACTGGCGATGGTCCTCTTGCGGATATTCGCTTTTGCCCTGGGAGAATCACCTGATTTCTTTGAGGACAAGATGGACCACCACATGTCCGCCCTTCGTCTCGTACACTACTACCCACTGGAACCTAAAGCTGAGAACGAAGATGCGGGAAAAGAAACACAGGAACAACCGATTGCTCACCGTCTGGTGAGAGCTGGGGCTCACACAGACTACGGTGCCCTAACCATTCTTGCACCCCAAGACGAAGGCCTCGAGGTTTTGTTGCGAGATGCTAGTAATGCTCAGGGTACAACGGGCGAAGGAAGCACGCAAAACAAAACTAACAAACCGACAGCGCGGTGGCATCCCGTCCCCTTGGTCCCGGGAGCCTTTGTCGTCAACCTGGGGGACCTTATGCAGCGGTGGACGAACCACGAATGGGTCAGCACAATGCACCGGGTGGTGATGCCATCGACGGAGGCACGAGAACGCCGATACTCCATGGCGTATTTTGTCAACATCAATGGGGATACACCCATTGAAACACTGCGGTGCTGCCGTGGTACGGCTGGCGACGAGGGTCCAGTGATCACTGCGGGTGAGCATCTCATGGCAAAGCACCTGGCAAGCATGGGTAYAACATCGGACAAGACCAAGTTTTCTGGGAGCGGGAAGAATTCAGAATTGTGATTTCGTTTATTTGCAGTAGTCATTTGAGCAGTGGTGAGATCAACCGTAGTTAGAAAATGAAAGTTCTTTCGCTCGCTTCGTGACAATGAATCYTGTGCTGTTGGTTTCTTGATGTTGTGCGATTACAACTACCAAATATTGTTTCCTTGCTGAATCTAATACATTAGGGAAAAGTGATAGAATCGGCAGAATTTCTTTTTGCTTAGAAGTCATGCAGACTACATACCACTGCAACTGGTTTCAATATGATTTGTATCCTTGGGAATGGCGAGGACGAGATCATACAATAATGCAATGAGTTGTACTACTAGTGCTAGTAGTACTATTCTTGTACCACACACWTGTTGAAAGAATGGCATTTTCTCAGGCGATCGTCATCAACTGCTAGTCGGACAGACACTTTTTCATCTGGTAAAGATAGCAGCAAAACGCCATGATGACCATAAAGCAGCAGTACTAAGAAGAATGAACCTTAATGCAGAAATGTGAATTTTGAAGATGATGAGCACCAACAGCAACAAGAACAACAAGAAGAACAACACCAAGAAGAAGATCATCTTGGCTTTAAAAAAAAGAGCAGTACTAGTAGTGATACTAGAAGTAGTAGTACTAGTAGCATCATGGAGTCCCGCGAAGTGGTAGTAGAAGTAATTCTCTCTATCGGTTGGAGTAGAAGAGCTTCTTATGTTTTCGAGTTACTAGTAGTAGTAGTACTAGAAGTCCTCGTTCATCTCCTATCCTTGACTGAGATTCACTTACGAGTCACGTTTGACGGGACTTCTTCGTTTTCTCAATTTTTATTATCAAAAATTCTTCAGTGTTTAAAAGTATTGCTCTACTGTACGTACGTACGCTACAGCRCTGCTTCTGCTTGACGGACAGCGAGCGTAGTATTTTCACCTTCGACTAAATAAAGGACCGTACGATACTCTACGTTTACATAAGACACACCAAGTGCCCCGTCGTGACTGAAAAATACCTCTGCTTGGTTTCTCAACGCTTGCGCCCAATTTAGTCATTATTACAGGTTTGGTGTGTTGCAAGTCAAATTGTCTTTCATACTGTACAGAGAAGAACCGAACTGAAACCAAACGCTACCCTACGGTACCATTCCAACCATCAACCCCTASACCATAAATTCAAAATAGCCAGTAGTATGAGCGATTCAAATGCACGAGGAGCTGGCAACCTGGCGCCGCTAGCTAAATACAAGCTGGTGTTCCTAGGAGACCAGAGTGTCGGAAAGACTTCCATCATCACCCGTTTTATGTACGATAATTTTGACCGGCATTACCAGGCTACGATCGGGATCGACTTCCTGTCGAAGACAATGTATCTGGAGGACCGCACGGTTCGTTTGCAGCTCTGGGATACAGCAGGCCAAGAACGATTCCGTTCGTTGATCCCTTCTTATATTCGTGATTCATCCGTTGCCGTGGTTGTGTACGATGTGAGCAACCGAGCATCGTTTACAAATACGTCAAAGTGGGTTGAAGATGTTAGAGCGGAACGAGGGAATGATGTTGTCATTTGCCTCGTAGGAAACAAGACGGATCTCGGCAACGACAAACGACAAGTCAGCACAGAAGAGGGCGAGGAAAGAGCGAAAAAGGATGGATTAATGTTTATGGAATGCAGTGCCAAGGCCGGATACAACGTCAAGAGCTTGTTCCGCAAGCTCGCAACGTCGCTTCCGGGAAGCAACGATGGAGGAGCCTCGGCGAAGAATGCTGGAAACGGAAGTGGTCTGATTGATATCAAGGTATCATCGGCGCCGGCAAATCTAGACGATGCCAAGTCGTGTGGCTGCTAAATGAAAAGAGAACAAGRGGATTTCCGCTTTCCTTTGGTCGCGCTTTCCCTGCCCTACCGATAGCACAGCATTATGCATGGCGAYGAAAGTCCCACCGTACGAGAGTCTAAAACTTCTCAGTGGCGATCGATGCAATCCCAGAAACCGTGTTCAGTCGAGACAAAAACGCCGGTGTACACACCCACCCACATACGAAGTCGATACGATCGTTTGTTTTTCTGTACTTTTTAAAGCTTTTAGTGATATCATACGTTTCATGTGTGTCTTGTAGCAGTCAACTTATCAGGTATTAGTTTAGGCTTGCCTAGAAAGTGATACTCGTTTGACAACTACAGAATGTTTTGCCACCATGCAAGAAATTATTGAATAAAAATGGTATGTAGGCACGAGTAGTTCATAAAGTCATTTCTTATCGTTGGTTAGTGCCCGACTCGCTTAGTGTCATTAATCCTTTTTCATTTTAGTGTCTCCGCCACTGTTGGCCACGAGTTCCACCGCACCCTTCACACGTCCGAGAAACTCTTTGACTTGTTGGGCTTTTGTGGCCATTATAATGAGCATGAAAATGACAACGACTGCATAGATGTGCGACAATAATTCTGATGTGTTTCGACATGTTTGAGAAACATTAGAGCACGTCATATCAGCAACCGCCCTCAAAATATAGGACGCAGTTGCGACAGTTAAGGGGACAATGTATCTATCGATGTGTGAGACAAAGAAGGTGGAGAGAAGCAGAAATTCGTGAAATGAGTATACGATGATGTGCCACGAACAAAGAAGCATCTAACTAGCAAAAACCAAAACTTACGTTTCCAATCCAGCAAGAGGATTGCGGCCTTCGTTTAATGATGCGTACACTGCGAACTCGTTATTGATCATCTCAAGCACGGATTGACGAGCCTCTTCGATGGAATGTTTGCTACCGAAGGTTGCCATTGAGTCAAATTTGTTCAACGCCTTCATGAGGAGATGACGGTGATCGTCTTCAAGCTCCTTAGGTTTGATGTAACTGGAACAATTAGGGCCCGAAATGCGATTCATGTAATCTTTATATTCACCAACAGCCAAATTAAGGGCGTTTGAATTGTTCGCAGTGGCTGTGGCTTCCAGCATAGTGGCAGCCTCGGGGAAAGAGGCCCCGGAAGCAAACATTTCTGCATATGCTTTGATAAACGATCCGAGCTCAGATGCAGTTACTTCTCTTCCTTGGATGACTTTGGGTGTCAGATTCTCRACAGAGAAAACTCGTCTGCAGTAACGATCGAGAAGGTTCAAAAATGTTTCATCCATTTTGGATACTTCGCCTTTGAAATTCTTTTTGATGACCGCCATTCCAGGATGAGACAAACCAAAGCAGGAAGTCTTCGAAAAACAAGCAAAGATTTGTTCTCTTGTCTCTTGCAAATCCTTGGCTTCCCTTTCTGAGATAACTTTCTGCAGATATTCATTCATTTCCTCTTCCATTCGATCGTAGTCTTCTTCGTCTTCAAAGTGCTGCCAATCACGAACCAGGAACTCCATTGTTTGAAAGGGTTTCACATCTCCTGTTTCTTCCTTTTTGGCTTCGTCGCCATTGGTTCCTTCGACAGCAAGTCTAGCATACTCTGAAAAGAGGGCAAGTTGCTGCAAATTGTCTTCCTGGATTCTCTTGTCGACGTTGTAGATTTGATATGAGCTCAAGAGTGTGCTTAGACCAAAGATAGATGCGGTCAAGGACATGGTTGTCTCATTATCAAACATACCCTGTGAATCTACAATAAGAATGGCCATTGTGTCGTCTCCTCTCTTGACAAAATGAGGCTGGCTCCACATCCAGATTCCAGTCGTGTTCCGTTCACTGCCACCCCTCCAATGAAAGGCGTCGTTTTCAATGGATTCAATCGTTTCAAACCATTTTTTGTCTCCTTCGATCAGATCTCCGGTGCTTCCACTCTTCTTCAACTCTTTCAGGTAGGCCAAAAACCAGGTCAAGAGAAACGACTTTCCAGTGCGAAACGCTCCAACGACACTGACTACAGAGACTTTCCATCCCGGAGGAATTTTTCTCATGATCGAGTTAAGCCTTTCTTCGTGGAATTGAAAGGCAAACTTGTCCTCCTCGGTTCCAATCGATACAATTTGAAGAGGCTCGGGTTTACAGGGTTCCGACTTTGCACCGACCTTGTTGCCACCGTCTAGGCTGCTCTCGTCGTCGGACACGGTCGGGACAGTAGTGGTTGTCGTCGTCGTTGCYGTCGCGTCGTCCACGGTCACGTCGGTGTGCTCAACGAGCACGACATCGTCTTTTTCGGTAGCCATGTCGGTGCCTCTTAAAATTGCTTGCTCTGGAACTGTTGTCGTGCAATCCAAAAAGAAAGCAGGATTAACTCTGGTATGCTTTGGTTGGTGACCAATCTGTCAATCAGCGATGATGGACCGAACCAGGCAATCACAGGAATGATGTAAAGGTAGAAGAAGAAAATGATCACCAGTCACAAATCAATCGTACGGTACAAAACTGTAYGTACCAAAACTCGTACCTACAGTACTAAAATKAATGACACGAACCACTGTACCGGTACAACGGAATTGAATGTAACGTTCAAAAATTCGCCGGCCAATCTCTTCCCCAGATTTGTTCGAAGAAATTGAAAATTTCCCCTCTTTCCGATCCGCAACTTGACCATTACGTACGGTACGTACTATTCTACGGTATTACTGTACTGTATTTTTTTCTCACAAGAATAATCCAGAATGGAACAAACAAAATTGCTCTGTGATTGTTGCTTGCCACAATTCCATGCGTGCTAAGGCAAAYATCTTAGTTTGATTACTAATGGAACTAAGTTGAAAAACTTTGAGGAACTCTCATCTTTATCACTATTGATTGATCATGAGAAACGCAATGATTTTCAGCCGGCTCGAAAGAATGGGTCACGCGTTGTAGCTTCTTCTCCTCTATATTTTCAAGAAATCGCGTAAGATAGTCCCGTCTTTGTTGCATGGACTCATGTTATATTGCAACTCCATTGATAGTGCTGTTGTATTGATTCATTGCGTCATGCACGCTTGCCTCGAATTCGGAGCACGGCGGTTCAATTTTGCCTTTGATTTTCGAAAAAGGATTCAGCGTGTGTTTAACGTAGCAATTGTGAATTTCGGTCTGCCAGGGCATGAAAGGCATACAGTGGGGAACATTCAGAGAAGAAGAATACTTGTGAGAGCTAGAAAAAAAGACGAATGACATTTTTCAATTTTCCAATTCTCCAATGAGGTAAAAAAAACTCACGAACATAATCTTGATATCGACTTCTTTCCGTTTCTTTAATGGAATGATCCCGTCTCTTTCCAGCAAGGCGATGATTTTTACGTCTGAGGAAGTAACGTATCCGTATATCTTCAATAAGAAATTGGATTGACAAAAAAAGAATGATTAGAATGACACTATGGGGAGAGTCGAAAACAAAAAACATTCAATGCAAACTACGATTGTTGAACTCATTGGAATCGCCATTCCAGCAGCATCAACGATCATTCCAAAAATTGACGTACATCATATTCTTCCATTGGGCATATCTGTCCAATCCAGTGACTGCCACGCTGGAAACGTTTCCAAGATACTTTCCTGTGTGATCCAAGCATGTCTTCGATACGATCAATGGCAGCGTGGATCATCATCTGTATTGTGTTGATGGGAAACGAAGAAAGTTCTTTAGAAATAATCGCATGAATACAACCAAAAGAAATCTACCTCTTGCTTTGTTTGGACTGCCTTTCTATTGAATGTCAAACAAAGAAACTCACCTCGTGGCGCACCGATGCCGGTCTCTTGACAACTCCCGACGTTGTTGAGTCCTGTTCACAAGTTTTTGCGTCTTCGAAAAATCCAAAAGGGTCGTCCTCGTGCTGAAATGCCGGTTCTGTATCACTATTATCGACGGCATCGGACGCACATATATAAAGGGGCTCGTTCCTGGTTCCGAGCAGCGCCAAACACTGCAATGACATGATAATTGCACTATCTACGGGTTCTGGTGTGTGTGTGTATTCGTCCTTGTTGTCAATGCCAAGTTACCGTCTTCCTGTTACTGGACGTGTTAAATTATTGAATGTATAGACAAATAGCAAGACAAGCCCGACTAGCAATGTCTTGGGAACGGATGTGTTGGTTCTCTAAAAGAGTTCGTATTCAGTGGTATGTTCTTGTCATTGTATTCGTATTTGCCGTTTGCCGAGAGCTCGTTGGTTTCTTTTTTCAAATCCAGGTTTAGGTTTATTTCGACGGAACGAAGCTAATCTTTATATTTTCAGATTCGACTCAATTGAGTATATAATTCGACTCAGTGGATTCGAAGTTCCATGTTTGATGCAAGATCGGGATGACAGCACCTCTCTCGTTTTTTCACGTCGATTAGTCTTGAAAACTGAAAATGAATATATATTCGACTCGATTGATTAAAATGACAAGGCAAGCTTGTTAGGTGATGACACATGGATGACAGTTCGTCTCGAAAAATTTTACGTCACCTCATAACAACAGAGTGAGAAAGAAGCCCAAACACACTGCGTCGACGATTTCATTGCACCACGGCAGAAGGTAGAAAAATTAAAGCAAAGAAAGAAAACAATCAGAAATTGGATATTGTTATCACCATTCGCTTTTTTCACAAAACACGATCCCACATCTCTTCCCGCAACATCCCTTGTGACATCCTATTCAATAAAAGTCTTCGAAGCTACTATCATAGACACATTTCGTCAATAYAAAGACAACGACAAAAACAACTACAGTTCAGGATGGATCTTTCACCGCAAATGTTTCGGGATATTCCCAAGTTGGTCAAGTACCACTATAAGGAAGGAAATTTCAATTGGCCTATGATCATTTACGTATCGCTTGTCCATGCTGCGGCCCTGGCTGGTGTCGCAAGACTCACACAATGTTCGACACAAACCTTAATGTGGGCGTTCATCTTATGGCCAATCAGGTATGTAATCCAGGTTTTCTAATGAACTTGCGATCRTCATCCACTTCTTTTCAAAATCACTCATCATTCTTACCTCTCTTGTTGATGGTTTGTTCAGTGGGTTTGGGATCACAGTAGGAGTYCATCGACTGTGGTCGCACAGATCATACGAGGCACACTTTCTGTTGAGAGCTGTGCTAATGCTTTGTAACTCGATCGCCAACCAGGGTTCGATCTACCACTGGGCGCGTGATCACAGAGTACACCACAAATTTTCAGAAACGAAGGCAGATCCGCACGATGCCACGCGAGGATTTTTCTATGCACACGTGGGTTGGTTGATTGTCAAGAAGGACCCAGCCGTAGTCAAAGCTGGACGCGAGATGGATTTCTCTGACTTGTTGGCGGATCCTCTGGTCAAATGGCAAAAAAAACTCGACCCTTGGTTTACCCTTTACATGTGCTTTGTCATGCCTGCACAAGTTGCTGCTCGCTACTGGGGAGAAGATTTCTGGAATGCCTTTTTCGTTGCCGGAGCCCTTCGATACGCCGTTGTTCTCCACTTTACGTGGTGTGTTAACTCGGCTGCCCACCTATACGGAGACCACCCATACGACGTTCTCTCTTACCCCGCGGAAAACCCTTTCGTTTCTTGGTGTGCCGTTGGAGAAGGATGGCACAACTGGCACCACAAATATCCCTTTGATTATGCTGCCTCCGAATTCGGTATTTCTTCCCAATTCAATCCTAGCAAATTGTTCATTGACTGCATGGCCAAACTTGGGCTTGTTTGGGGACGCAAGAGAGGGACTGCAGCATGGCAAATGGGAAGAGCTCGACGAATCCGTGACTCTGATGCTGGAGTCCCTCTTCCTGTTGCTCCACCAAGACCTTGGGAGGTCAAGAAAATGGATTAACAAAGGTTTCATAGCCATTTGCASAGCACAGGTACCTCTCCACGATTCGGTGCGTCGATGCCATTAGTTGACACCGATATGATGGGTAGTCTATAACACCATACCATAGATTTTTATTTTTTTACCATTAGATTTTATCTTCGACTACTTATGCGGCAGCTTTTTGAACTACTTTCTTCGGTTGTGTTCCAAGGCTACAGTCATAGTTTTTCCAAGTAACATGTGTKACCAACAACTTCTGAACACAGATACAGTTTAAAGTTTCTCACGAGACAAGTTTCCCTTATTAGCCTTAGATTCCAACCGATGGAAGCGTAGCGATTGGCTTCGACTTGGCGATAGTGTGAGAGAATACTCTTCCCGAAGATCGGTTCTCAGCTCAACAGGGCTCCATGATACGGAGCGAAGCAACACATCTGTTGCCGTGGAAAGCTCTGCTTGTGCGAGTCGGCTGCCGGGGCATGCACGTTTCCCAATCGAATAGGGAATGAATTTGCACGATTCAGTGCCCCTGAACACCCTGTCTTCCTCTTCCAGCCATCGCTCGGGTCGAAATGCGTTCGGCAGATGCCAAGAATCATCGTCACGTGTCAGCGACCAGTTGTTGGCCATGACGATTCTACCGGCGGGTATTCGATGTTTTCCAATGCTCGTGTCAACTATCGACCTTCGGGGTAGGAGAAGCGGAGGTTTGTATCGCAGCGTTTCTTTAATGAGAGCATCCACGTACGATTGTTCCTCTGCATGGTTGCTGACTTTCGAGTCTATCGTGCATATTCTCTTCCTCCTCGATGCGGCGTCGAGTCTAGCACGTGCTTGGTATTGCGGTTCCTTTGCAGTAAGTAGCAGCATCCATTCTAGCGTCGTGCTAACCGTATTCACGCCAGCCACGAAGAGGTCCACCAGAGTGTACATCACATCCGATTCGGGAAGTGAAGCACCTAAAAGAACGTCTAGCATATCGTTGCTGCTCTTTGCATTCTTATTTGCCTGTCGTTCGAGTCGGCGCTGAGATACTATTTTGCGAATCAAGTTATCCCTCTTTTCTACCAACGACGGGATAGGCGACATTCCCTCGTAATATCTATCAGCAATGCGAGGATCGGTGACTAAATCTGTGAGGAATGTTTGTGTCGACGTGAGCTCGTCCCATAAATGTTCCACAACATCGACCAGCTCCTCGAACAAAGGCGAAGAATTACATGCAATGTTGCCGATGCCGGTTGCAGGAGTGGAGGAAGATGGAGATACCGATGTTGATTGTTCTCCATCATACGGAACTCGAGCCGAGAAGGCGTATCGCAGCACCATATTTGTCACTGCACGGCGGAGTGCTGGTCGAATCTCAACGCCACCATTTGAAGAAGAACTCGCTGATACCAAATGATCCACCAAAAGTTCAGTTTCTGCCTCAAAATGCGACAGCGATCTTTCTACACTCCTAGCGTCGAATAATTCCCCGAAGGCTTTCTGTCGGAGCTTAATCAATGCCGGGTCTAATTTTTTCTTGGCAAATCCTTGCCCTTTTCCCGATGAGATGCTCATCGACGGTACCATCGGCCGTCCACTAAAATCGCCCCCTTTGACAACAAAGGCCTCGTGGACGGCACTCGGGGACGACAGAATCACCCAGGGCTCGCGGCCCATTTGCAGCGTCATTACGTCTCCAAATCGATCTGCTAGCTGGTCCATTCGTTCGTGTGGTGGAGGGCCGATGCCAACCGCTTTTCCAAGTCCTATCAACGGAAGCGACCCCAAACCATTCGACATTATCGATGGCAATGACGGAGGACCGGGGGGCTCTCGAAGCACAGAGCCGGCGGCGGTGACTATTGCCATCAACATCATGATTCTATGGAAAGGCAACGAATCTGTATTGCTCTATTATTCACCGTCGACCTTCAAGTGTTACAGAAGCGTCACCCGTGTCATGATCAACATGAGAACGCCGGCATTCAATCAGTGAAACARCGAATTTCCCAACGAACAAAAGAGTGAGTGACATTGAGTCAGTCGGTGCCCAATTTTGAGGTTTTTATTGACTACACTAGTGACTAAAATACGTCACTATCAGGCACGACTGAGAATCACCGTCTCAAAACCCATCTCAAAATTTTGAAATTCAAAATCGAAGACTACATCGAACTTCGAAGCGTTCCTTCAGTTGATCGCATCCATCGTTCCACTTGTTGTGCAAAAGGAGGAGTAGGAGCGATCTGAGCAGAATGATGGATGTTTCCGAAGAGAATATCGGGAACGAAAGTTCGGTTGCTTCGACACGAAAGCGTCGACACCTGGATTCCTGCAACGGAGACAATACATCGACAGTTGGCGTTTTGCCAGCTAACCCTCTGGCTTCGTCGTTAGAGACGCTGGAAAGAGCGCAGAGCCCCAACTTCGAGGAGTTGGCGAGGCAATATCCTAGGTTCCGGGAGGCTTGGACCGCAACGAAARACGCTCAGAGGGGCCGCGGACAAGCAGCATTTTCGTCGTGTGTTACCCAGGAATTCACCGTCGAACTGACACGGGCAATCTTGCAAGCATTGTTTCGACTGAAATTACCGTATTTAGACGAGCAGCATTTGTGTCCTCCCATTCCCAATCGTTTCTTTTATCTGCACTGGATTCACACGAAATTAATTTCGTCGAGCAGGGCAAGAGGATTTTCACCACTCGATGTCAATCGTAACAACAACAGCCGGGGACTCGACATTGGTTCGGGTGCGTCGTGTATTTACGCTTTGTTGGCGGCCCGRTACTTTCGTTCTAAGATGCTGACAAGCGAAATCGACCCACAGTCTGTATCGCTGGCGTGTGCCAATGTAAAAGCCAATCATCTGTCGAGCATGATCACGGTGTTGCAAGTACCACATTCGCAGTCGCAACAAGAGGAGCATGCTCGGCATCAGCCACCAAACAGTGTGTCTGTTGGCGGACCACTTCAATGCGCTGTTGGTGAATGGTTCCAGTTTCAACAGCAGAAAAATAATCAGCATCAAAAGCTAGAGCCTAATCCCTGTCGTCTGGTCCTGGACTTTGTTATGACCAACCCTCCCTTTTACGATCCGAGTTCGATGGAGCTCTCCACTGCCAGGGTGGGTGACGGTCGTGCACGAACCAACATGACGGTATCAGAGGGGAACTATCCCGGTGGAGAAGTAGGTTTTGTGACAGAAATGATTGAGGACTCGTTGCGMATGTCCATTGGTGACAAGGAATCTCGGCACTTTACCGCTGCTTGGTATTCTTCCATGCTGGGCAAAAAGACCTCACTTGTCAAGCTTCAAAAGTTGCTGGTCCATTTGTTTGGCCCAGCGAACGTCGAGACGGCAGAGTACGGCCCCGGTCATTACACAAGATGGTTTTTGGCATGGACGCTGGAGCAACCACCGGTGGCGGCCATTGCGGCGCGATGTGCTCCCAACGCCAGCGACAGCTTCGAGGTTCTCGTAGCAGCACCGCCTTCGGATTCGTTTCGGATGAACGGGGTGGCGAACGTTTGGAATCTGCAGAAGATCGCGACGAAGGAGGTTGTGGATCGGATCTCGGCATTCTGCGACTCTTCTCCGGGAGGTTGGGATTTGACAACAACGGTTCTTGGCGCCGATCGTAAATCCCCGGTGGTGGTCGTTCGAATGACAGAAAACATGCCACCAGCCGTGACCAATTTTGTCGACGAGGGGCAAAGGGGAGTCGAGATTCCCGAATCCATCCTTCGGATTCTCCGGCGCCGCAGCAGCAATGCAGAGTTTCTGCCCGCAGAGGGCCACTTTTTGGTAGAGGCCGAGATCCGTACGATGAACGCCAGAGATTCCCGCCCTCCGTCGAACGTTGTGGTCCAGGTGCAGCTGTCGTGCTACCGCCATTCCGCGCGGGGTGCCAAGGCGATCGAAAAGATACGGAACAGCCTGGGCGGGGAAGTCTGCCGGACGAACCGAAAGTGGCGAAAGATCCGCCAGCGGCAACACCAAGCGTCTTGAACCTACGAATGCAGATACCATTATATTACAGGGTACAGACTAAAACGGTGACCAAAACCAAATCGTTTTCTATATTGGTACTATGTTTATAGCATATGCAGTTGCTTAGCTTTTTGAGCCGATGCAGGAATTTCGAATATCCTTGACGAAATTGATGGCGCTGCTGACGCCCATCTTTTTGGCAAGCATCGTGGGGAGGGCGGGAGAGTAGACGTGCGTGACGGCCGTCATGACGCACTCGCCCGGTCCGTGGTCCTCGAGGAGGTTGACCCCCAGCAGGATGTCGTTCCGTGGCAGTTCCGACAGGCTCTCGTCCACCATTCCGGGTGCCGCCCTGCTGACCACGAAATGGGCCGATCCCTCCTCCAGCTTTCGGGAGTGCATGAGGGTGCATGACACCATGTTGGACTTGGCAATCGGGGGTTTCGTGAGGTTGCAGACGACCTTGGTCCCCTCCCCAATCGTTCGCACATCGGTCCTTCCCACGCTCAGCTTGTTGTAGATTTTGACCCTGGAGGAATCCATGAGAAGATCCGCCATTTCCTCTGCCGCCAGGGGCAGGATCGATTTCGTTTTGATGATGGGAAGGTTCGACCCGTGCCCTTCTCGTTTCGCCTTTCCGATGTAGACCATGACCTCGCCCTTTTCCAGGACCGCTGTTTCGCTCTGGTCGTTCTCCTCCATGAGTTTCTTGGTGGAACCGTGCATCTTCCACTCGATCCAGTCGTTGTCGCCGCCGCYCGCCATTTCCAGCCCCGACTCCACGAGGAGATCTAGTGCCTCGTTTTCGGCGARTTCSTCGCACGTCTGTTCGTCCATGTCGACGCCGAGGGGGATGATGGGAAGGGTCATCCCTGTACGCACCGGCGACACCGTGGACAGGGAGGCCTCCAGGCACGCAGCTAAGCGGCGTTCGAGGCCGTGACCAAAGCGGCGGCGAGAGCGGGAGCGAAACGATTGAGGAACGGTCCGTTCGTCTGGTGTAAAGGCATCCCGGCGGGGTTCCGGCACCGGACCGCTGCTCCCGTTCCAGAGGGGCAGGCGGCCGAGCCGAACGTACGGAAGGGATCGCGGCAAGCCGCGGTTTCGATCGTCCCCTCCCTCGCCGCCGCAGAGGGCCCTTCCGAGGACTCCAAACAACGACGACGAATGCGAATCCGGCGACGCTCCTGCCGCCGATGCCTCCACGAGCAACCAAGCCCTGGAGGCCAAGACGCAACAGAGGCACCAGGCCACAAACCTTGTTCGTTCCGTGTGGGTTGTGCGCATGGTAAAGATAAGGCGGCTCGAGCGTGCGATCTGCCGTAGCGGTGGGTGGGTTGGTGAAGGGTATTGTTGGACCTCTGTACAGCACGCACGAGTACGGTACTGTCTTTGGTGGGGGTTTATGGATCGGAAGATGAAATCTGACAATCTGACAACCCTTCCTGTTGTCAACCGGTAGGCGGTAGGAAGCTGACAACAAAGAAATGATGGCCGCGAATCAGAAAGCCGGCGAGAGATTCGATCGATCCGTTCGATCTCGGTTTGTTTTCAAAATTCAAAAAAGTTTCACCACATTGGTCGAACATTGGATCGTGAACCATGGATCGTGAATGAAATTTAGATCGAATGAGTCAATGGAATGAATCGACGGAAAAAAATGATCCTACCGTACACGACGCGTGGAACCACGGAGGACATAAACGGTTCCGTTCCCCTACGGTAGTACGAGTAGGAGTTCGTACGTACTGAAGTATCAGGTGCTCTCAATTGGGAACTTCACCAACATTGGGAACTTCACCAACATCATGCGGCTAGTTTTGTACGTATCGTACGGTACAACAAAGGGATTTCACCAAATCAAGACGATGTGATTCTCGCATGGAATTGGTTTTGTCGTCCGGAAATCAAGGACTCCACTTCCAACGTACCGTAGTGCGATTGTCCTCCGTATCATCATCATCATCATTAGCACCGAAGGCATTTCGCCATCGCACAACGGAACAAAGGACGAAGAGCCATCGATCACTAGGACTACACGTCTCCGTTGAATCGAATCCATCGTTCGAATCGACGTGAATGATATCCGCGAAGCCATAGAATAGGTCCCTTCCYTAGCACAGTCTCGGGCACGACGAGAACGACACACAAACCCGAACGGCACCATGAACGACACGCCTCGCAGCCCAAAACGGTTGCTGCTGGTGGTTGTGGCCCTCGTGCTGGCGTGCACAACGGCCGTGTGCGACGCCAGGCGGCACCTACCCGTGGCCGGGATCTTTGGCTTTAACGGGGATCGCAACAAGCAAAAACCGCAGCAGCAACAGCCACCGCAACGGCCGGGAAACGGACAGCCACCGCCACCGCGGCCGGGGCAACCGGGTGGGAGCACCACCTTTGTCCGACCCCCGCCGAAGGGATACCCCCCTCCCCCGCCAAAGCGACAACCACCGCAGCAGCAGCAACAACAACAACAGAACACGGCAACGCAACAAAGACAAACCACGCCTCCGGCGAAAATTCCCCCCCCYCCGCCGCCACCTCGCCGGCCCGGGTCCCTCGAGGAGAAGATCGCCATCGAGATCAAGTCAGCGAGGGAGGAGGCCGACGAGGAGGCCTCGAAGGCAGGCGCAGCGCCCGGGGAAACAACCGGAAGCAAGGACGAGCCCGGGCCACCGGAGGAAGACGCGACCGCTGTGCTCGGGAGCGGCGGAGACGAGGGCAGCAGCGATGTTCCCGCCGCTCCCGAGCCTCCGCAGGGAAAGACCCCTTCACCAGACCCCAAAACAGAACAAACGCAGCAGCAGCAGCAGCAGCAGCCACCGCCCGTAGCTAGCTGGGAAGAACCATCGCCCCAAGCCAACTACGATGCGTGGCAGGGGGGAGGCGCACAACAACAGCAGCAGCAGTATTACGATCAGTATAACCAGGGACCGAATTCGTATCCCGACCAACAACACCAACAATACGAATCAAACCTTTACTATCTCGAGCAAGAACTGAGCGAATCCCTCGCCCGCGAGCACTCCCTCGTAGCCCAGCTCGACAACCTGACGACCACMGCTCTGTCCCTCGAACAGAGGGAGGTCTTGCACAAGCACCAGCTCGATGTTCTGACGGAACGAGTCGTCGACGTGGAGGCCCGGGCCGCCGACGACCGCAACCTCTTGGTCGAATACGAGGCGAATTGCACGGCTCTGGGAGCCAACATTCTTTCCATGCAGGAAGACCTGGAGGAGTGGCAGGAGCGCTGCAAGGAGTGGAGCCAGAAACACGAGGACGACCAAGAGAAGCTGTCCGAACTGCGGCTGCTCATCAAGGAAAAAGTCTCCGAGGCCGAAGACCTGGCAATCGCAATGGAGGAGCTGCGGATCACGGAAGAACGACGCCAGGAATCGACCTCRAAGGCTAAGGCCAAGAAGGGGGGCCTGATTTCCTGGGTCTTTGGCCTGATGGGTTTTAGTGGAGGCAGCGCCAAAACCGCAAGGTAYGACGAGGARGTCCGCGAGGATGCCTTTGAGCTGGCCAAGTCCACCCTGCTCCGGGCCCTCCAGTCCGAACGCTCCAATGTCCACGAACTTGAGACGGCTGTTGCCTCCCTTCAGCAAAACAACTCGGCAATTTCCGAAATGGTGGAGTCGAGGGACAACATCATYGATGAACTGAACAGCCGGATTGCCGTCTTTGAAGAAGACAAGGTCGTTCTCAAGGCAGCCCTCAGGCAGCTCCAAAAGGAGATGAAGGAAGAAGAACCAAAGACCCAAAAACTGATCGAYGATCTGGCCGAGGCSGAACAAGAAGTCGAGCGGGTCAAGGCGGACTTTCATTCCATCATCGAGACCCACCAAGAGGAGCTGGCCAACCTGCAGAACGTGATGTCCCAAAAGGAAAAGTCGATCACGGATGCCGAATCGAATCTCACCGCTATCGGGACCTACGTGGACAAGCTCGAGGAGCGCCTTACCTCCTTTGCCATTACGCGGCGGGACATGGAAGAACGCGAGAAAATATGCAAGGGCATCGAGAAGAAGGCGGAAGAGAGTGAAACACAACGAAAATCGATGGAGACCAAGGTAGAAGAACTGGAGAAACAAGAAGACGAGCTGAAGAAACTCCTGGAAGAACTCGTTTCTGAACGAGCGGGTCTCCAGAAGGAGAACCGAAAACTTTACACGGAACAAGAGTTTCGAATTGCAGAGCAGGAAAAACTCACACTTCATTGTGAAACACTGCAAACCGAAGTTGCCTCTTTGCGCGAAGGGATCGAGGAATGGAAGAACAAATGCGAGAGTCTTGTCCCGGATTTGGAAGCGTCCAGAAAATGTCGGGAAGATCTCGAGCGGGATGTAGAAGCCATGGCCGGTGCACAGAAGGAGTTGAATACGCTTCAAATCGAACAYGCTGTCGTCGTTGAAAAAAACGAGAAACTTCAGGAGGAAACTGAGGCCGCRATTGCAGAGAAGCAACTGCTCGAAGCCAAACTCGTGGAATTGATCAAAATCATAGAGGARAAGGAAGAAGCCGAAAAATTGGCCAAGGAACTGGCGGCAGCGAACGAAGCCAAAAGACTGGCCAAGGAGACAGAGGCCAAGCGACAGCTTCCTCCTCCACTACCATCGAAGCCGAAAGCGAACGATGTGCCTTTGCGAAGCATAAGGAAAACCTTGTCAAAGGCCACGGGAATCCATGGTGTATTGACTCCTCCCTCCTCGGCAAARAAGGAGGCAAACGCAAACACCAGTAGACGACCAACAGCGCGACCACCTCCCGTCAATTTTGCTCCACCGGMACACGTCTCTGAAATGAACTCATCTCGTGAGGAAATAAGTCGGGACGGTGTCAATCACAACGATTCTAGCCCCCCTCAGCTCCCACCWCCAATGGCATTCCAATCAGAAACGCAGCAACAATAGCTGAAGAACCCTAAAYGGGATGAAAACTTGATGATTRATAATCGAGTACTAGTRCAATCCAATCAGATGTAACCAGCTCGAAAACTTTTGTCGAAGACATTACAATCGTCCATTGTAAGATCTGTGCATCATACTATTTCTGAGCGTTGACCCTCTCAAGGTGAAGTGCACCAAGCAGCTAGTAGAATTTAATTTTTTTGCAATGCTGCCTGACGAAGACCACAATTGCCCAACATGAAGCCACCATTCCTTTTCTTGTTAGAAAAATCCAGAAGAAAAATTTACTRGTAGTGCTATATTGTTATGAATCTATCCCCTTGATATCACAATGGTTGCTACTCTCTTCATCGTACAATGTCAAGTGGTCCTCTGACAACTCTACTAAAGTTAGTGTTATCATAACATTCGTGGAAGTCAACAAGCAGGACACTACCTCTCTCGAAAACCATCTGAGCCCTGGTGAAAACAATCCACAATCCACACCATAATGGTCTCACTTTGCTGCATTGCAAATAATGGTCATTRAAACTAAAATTGACCTATTGCTGCTTGTTGTAGTTGGTAAACAATTTGAAGCTATAGTTGCTTGTGGCCMAATTTTGTGCAAGAAGCAAGAACCAGTGTAAGGCAGCCAATCCATACCTCCCTACCTTCTTACTGTTGGTACGTATGTACCTTTGGAATGAATTGAAAATACA